CCAACTTGATGGATTTACTCTTTTTGACGAATAGAATGCTTTTGTTTCATAGGCTTACTTCCTTGTTCAATGGGTTGTTTGGTGGTTAAGTCAGCTGCCTCCAGGTAGGCAGGTATTAGTTGTTCATTGGAGACGACTTTTTTCTGCCCGTTCTCTTCAATTATATAGGTCCTTTGTTTTGTGCGATAAGTTTTTCGGTGGGAGCCCGAATAGTGCTGCTCCAGTGGCTTTCTAATTCTACTCACTCTTACAAAAACACGCCACAAAGTTTGTAGTTTCTTGAAAACGACCGAACAATGTGCTGTATGTCTAGAAGTAGGAACCGGGCGAATTGATCTCAACAGCTGTTGCAGACTCTTGACAAACGTAGACTCGTTTGATCATAGTGTTGCTTACACAAAAAACGCTCCTGAAATCTGTAAATAGACTCCGAATCATCTGGAGAGGCCTCCAAGTCATGTTTGTATGCCGTTTTGAGTCCCTGTAGCACTATTGGGTGATTGTCCAGCCACGATTGCATGCAGCATCTTAGCGCTGCTTTTAGATGGTAGGCCATGGTATATATGACCTTGGCTTCAAAATCCTTTAAAAAGTTCCGACTCAAACTGGGCTCCTCTAATGGAGAGTGGTGTCCATGCTAAAGAACATACTGACCTGTTATCGCTAAGCGCCTTTGCTACAGTCTCAGCTTTGACATTAGCCAATGGGATTGCCATGGGCCATCGCGTGTACCTATATATTATAGTGAGGCAACACTTTAGTCCGCAGATTAAAGACATTTTTAAAATGTCTAAATGCATGTGCTAAAAGCGATTTCCCGACTCCATGAACTTACCAAAAGCGACTCTGTTGTAGTGGCTGACCTTGGAGCGCTGGCAGAGCTCTCACTGACGCGCCCATCTGATGAAATCTCTCGTGATACCTGGCCTGACAAACTTTTGTGACAGCATTTTAGTCATTGCTCTTCCACTGGAGTTTCCAAGCCCATGCCAGACGTTGAAGGCCATGCGTTAGAGAGGATCCGGGAGGTATGGGCGAACAATTTCACCTTGGGTGTTGTAGTAGATTAGGTGCCTTTTAATTGACACTTGTTGGACGATATATGTAAAGTCCATCCTTGCAGTGACTGCTGCTCATCGTTCAAGGCATTGGCCTCTATAATTATTGCTGTGTCTAAAGAAGTAATGCTAGGATGGCAGTTGTCGCGAGTAGGAATCGGGATCAGCGGGTTAATAAATTGTCACGTTGCTTAAAACTATTAACACATTTATTGACAGAAAATTACTTACAAATGTCGATATCTCTGCAGTGGCGCTGACAATCTTAAGCGTTGAAATGCGTTTTTTGATGAAGAGCTTTATCGCAGAAAAGGTAGGAGGTTCGGTGGTAGAGCTCTACGAGGACTCCCATTCTTGCAAAGCCCGTGCATCAAGCTTCCGGATGATGAGCACCACTACAAGTTCATCCCAATGAGCAGTAGGGCGGTCTAGCTATTTTAGTACAGCTTAGGCATTCACAGTGTCACTCAGTAATGCCTTTAGCTCTTGCGGAATCTGATGCAGTTAACACAGAAAGCAAATTCCTGGTAAATTTTGAGACCAAATGCCGCTTGTTTGTGTAATGGTCATCAAGCATCTTCCATGCAGCTTCAAAGTTCGCATCAATTTCCGCTGCTTCACCCTGGACATGTGTCTTCAAGTGCTGCAACTTCTCGACGTTGCTTAGCCGAGAATCATGCACGACGATAGCCCCGAACAGATCCTTGAATTCTAGCCAGTCTGAAAATTTGCCTGAAAAGTTTGTTACAGCTATTGGTGGGAGACTTCTTGGCGCAGCCAAGGGTACAATTTCGTCACTTTCTGATCGCGCAGGAAGCTTCTGCAGCTTCTCAGAAAGAAGTGCAGCCGAATCGAGATAGGCCTCCGTAGCACCATAGTTATTATCTTTAAAATAGCTAGTTTTTTCAACATCGTCTTTAAGTGCGAGAATGTTATCGTGATTTATTTGGAAGGTATCCCAAATGGCTCTCAACTGCTCTAAGCGTCCTTAAATTACAGTACGTTTAAATTTTTCCTGGCCTAGGTTTTTCAGATTCACGTGTACGTTGTTGTTCATCTGGAACAACTAGCCTTGTGTTTTGTAAAGCGGTTTCGAGTCCAACGACATGGCAAACTCAATACTGTCGTGAAGCGCTCGTGACAAACGAGCCGAAGTGTGTTTAAGTTAACAACCGCCCACCTTGACGATTCAGTGATGAAAGTCGCCCGCACTACACTCGAACTCGTGAAATCTTTCACGAGCACACACCCTCAACACGCCCAATACCAATTTGGTCACAGCCGAACTTGGAGTCAGCACACATTGCAAGTCCTGATCCTACATCGACGGTTAAATGGTCCTCGAAACTATGCTCTGCTACCAAATGTTTGCACCGGGAAGTAATGCTAGGATGACAGTTGTTGCGAGTAGGAATCGGGATCCGTGGGTTAATAAATTGTCTTGTCGCTTAAAACTATTAACACATTTATTGACAGAAAATTACTTACAAATGCTCGCTGTGAGAGAAGCGTTCGTAACAGTGGTTGTGAGCTTACTGAATGTTGCGCAGAACAGTTAAATTTGGTCAGACACCAGGTATCCTAGATAATTTACCTTCACTTTAAATATATGAGATAAAGTTTGAGAGAACGCACAGGTCCAATTTCATGACATTGGTAGGTAACAATAATCGTAAGCAAGTATGTAAGAGTATAATTTGAATGAAATATAATAACAATAGTAAGCTAATTCACTAGGAGTTTAAAACATGGTCTTTTTTCTTAATGGCTTGTAAAAGTCGACTTTTACACCTGGTGAGCGGTATACTGATCCGCAGGCTAGTAGGAAGCGAATTTTACTCTTTAGCAGTACCAATAGCGAATGAATGTTTGTAGATGTCAAGTTTAGTGTAAGCCAGTCGCAGCTCCAGAGTATTGAACTGTCTGGGTTAAAAGGATTCGGGTTTGAATGTCAAAAAAAGATATAATATTGTATATATTGTAAGTAGAAGGGACATGATCTGATTTGCATGGATTGTCAACATAGCAAAACGCGGCGTTCAGGCATCTGTTTATCTTCGTTTCCATTGTATCTGAGAGACCATACAGAAAAGACGCGCAGTAATTAAGGTGTGAAAATACTAACGGGTAAACTAAAAGTAATCTAGTGTCATTTAGTTAGCTGCGTTCAAATCGCTTGAGACAAGTAAGAGTCGAATAGCAGCTTTTAGCTACCTGGGCACAATGTAATTTTAATATAAGGAAGCTATCAAGCATGACACCAAGCAGTTTGATCGTGTCGCTGGGTTTGATAATAATGCAATTTAGAGTAGTCAGGCAACTTACCGGCAGCTAGTATCCTGTTATAAAAACCTCTAATACCAAACCAAATTGCCCGAGTTTTCCTCTCATTGACGATGAAGCCATTCAGCTCTGCTCAGAAAGAAATCTCTTAGAGAATATAATTTGCCATTAGAATTAAATTATTAACTTCTCCAGCCCTCTCATGGATGTAGAAACAGAAATCGTCTGTATATAAATAATAACAGCCGTCTTTAAAAATTTCAGGGAAGTCGTTGGTGAGCAATGAGAAGAGTATCGAACCAAGTTGGCCATCTTGAAGAACATCTGAGTTACGGAAGAGAGTTTGAGGTAATTTACCATTAGGTAATCGGACAACTTGCGTTCGGTGTATGAGATATGATTTAACCCATACTGCAGCTGTATCAGAGAAGTCAGTAGCAATGAGCTTACTCACAAGTAGGCTGATGTTGACTAAGTCGAACGCTCTAGATTGGTCAATGGCAAGAAGTGTGATTTGTTTTTAGCTCATCGCTTTGTCAATATCATCAATTATTCAGATCATAGCAGTATGACAACTGTGTAGCTTTCTAAATCCTAGTTGAAAACGATCCAAAATACTTCTGTTTTCAATAAATTTCCATATTTGTTAAAGTGCTAGTGACTTAAGTATTTTTCCAAGGGCACATAGAATGTTTATAGGCTGGAAGTCATGTACTGTGGTGTGTGGCATGAAGAAGGATAGAGAGAGAAAAGAAAAAAAATATGTGCTTATGAAAACGAAACTATTGTCAATTGTTTCTCAAAATTTCACCACTAACTAAAGTATGCAAGAATTTGTGAAACGAAATTTTTAAAAGATGCTAATTACCTTTACACACTTCTTCCACCTTTGGGGTCACCACTTATTGTTACTATGCGAAGGTTATATTTGTGCGAGTAAGAGGTAAAATAAGAAAACATGACTTTGCATAAGTAACTTGGTATAATGAACTTAAAATTAACGTACAAAAATCGGTTCTTGTTTCATCACATTAATTAATCATAAAAGCACTGATAATTGTGTAACCAAATTAACATCGTCTTCAACAATGTTTCTTTTTGAGCTTCCATGCTGCCGAAGCTCTTCTCACTTGCTTCGTGCAGATTATGTTGAGCGTAGTGTACCCTCCAGTTAATGGCCAAGAGGGAACAGAACGAGGCGTTGACTATGAGTTCCTCAGCTGCAGTTGCCCTTGGATGATGTTGTAGTACTCAGAAAGAGATGGAAGACATTCGTAGAGCCGTGGAAGTCAAGCGCGGCGCTTCTGCTGTCTTCTCGTTAGAGCAACCGAGGCAGGACCTTCGTCGTCTATTCAAAAGAGCTCTCTAGGTACTAACTCCTGCTTAAGCTGATGGTGCGCTAAAGATTAACCTAGTTGCGTCACCACAAATATACTTTTTTCTTCTGTTATTATAATAAAATTTTTCTTGGATGGAGAATATCTGATGCTCGAAACCTTAAGTGCCTTATTTTTTTATAATTTAAGTCACGTTATTATATCATTCATACCAAAAAATTCTTTTTTTTGAAATCTATGATAAAAAAGTATTCTAAACATAACTCTTTTAACTTATGTTTTGTAATTATAATTATTTTTTCATTTTATGCTCATGGTGTAGATCAATTACCTGAAACGGTCACTAAGAAATTTTCCAAAACAACACAGATTGTGGACATGATTAAATCGAAAATACACTTTCACAAACCTGGAGAAAACTACAAAACTGAGGGCTACATTATTACCTCGAATACTTTTGAATTACTAAAGAAACATCTACTTACAACTGAAGGAAAAGTGATCACACGATTTCCTCCAGAGCCAAATGGAATTCTACATGTTGGACATGCAAAGGCAATCAACATTAATTTTGGGTATGGTACTATTATTTTTTTTTTAACATCACTTCCAAAGAATTTTGATGCATTTTAATGCATAAAAGAGTGAACTCAATGCACCATTCGTGCAAAGAGTGCTGACCTAATTAGTAAGATGTGACTATGGTTTCATTAGAAATATTCCAACAGTGCCTATGCTTTGATAAGAAAGATATCAGTTAGGTTATATCATAATAAGTGTGGCATTTTATCTCCACGCATAGGTGGTGAGTGGGTAGTCCCGGTAACGAGGTCAGTAGGCTGTCGTAGTAACCCGAAAAAAAACTATTTTTAATATTCTATGAATACTCTTTTTTCCCCTAATTTTAACAAAAAGTAGCTTATAGTTTCTCATTATTTTGCAGACTATTCTATTAAATCGTTACTGTCATTTTAATTTTATTATTAAATATCTCTCTATTTGATTTTTTTCTAAGAGTTCAAAAAAAAATATTTTATTTTTAAAACATGATTAAAATGCTTTTGATGAAGTTTAAATTACTTTTTATAATTAAAACACTAGATCCTACATATTAAAATATTTAAGGAACACTTCGATTACGGTTATATATTTCTTTACAATCCATACGATTAAAAAATAATCAATTGAGTGATTATTGCCGCCTAATTTTGACAGTTATTGATATTAATATGTCACAGTAATAGAGGTAGTCAGCAAGTTATGAGGTCAAATAATAAAGCCTTTATAAATTTTGACGAACTTCATATTTATTTTTGTGCTCTTGCATATACAGAACTTTAATTGAACAGGTTACTTATGGATGTCTTGATATAAGTTTGACTTCACCCCTTTCGCCCTTCGTATACAAACATTCTTTACTGTATGTCCTAATACAATTTTTATTTCATAATATATTGCTTTAAAATATAAAAAGATCAAGAAGAACTATTGAGCTGAGCTTACGTACCAACTTCCTGAAGACATTTTATCTTTACTGAGCTTCCTTTTTGTAACAATCTAATACGTATATTTAAGATATGGGGTACAAAACTAATGAAATGGAGTAATATTTTAACACTTGATTTTCATCACTAAATAGAGTTTGTAGAATAACATAACATTAAAAAAAAGATTAAACGAAATGTACGATTCACAAAAGAACATCAATCATGTTATACTTTAAAATTCCTTATTTTTGACTTTTTTTCTTTTAAGTTAAACAGTAAATTTGATTTTTTCACTACTTATTATACATTCCAAATTGTCTAAGTAACTATCACAGCCTGTATACAGGTTGAAGAACGTTTCTACTGTTTAAAATTTACTAAATATGTATTTTGATCTAACAATTTCTTATTCATTAAATTAATTCAAGTTTATTTATATTTACCTCCAATTCTTTTAAATATGAGTAACTCTTCAAGCCAAGACACTGATACTATTAACTTGTTAATTTTCTAGAAACTAACCACTTAAGTTTTTTGTTGTTTCATAAAATGAACAAACTATTTAAGTAATTGTAATAAATAGATGCTACTCAGATTTCAGTTACAAATATATTTTGAAATATTTTTTCGCAAATTTCTTAAATTATTCCATTAAGAATAATTTATAATAAATTTTCTTGGATCTAAAAAAACCTAACATTTATCTTTATCTTATATTCGTTAACGTCTACGCATAGGTACGTGTCTCTTGAATTTTATTCACTATTCAAAAATTAACCCGGTACTCTTCTTCACAAAGTTCTTAATATTTTCTTTATTTTTTCACAATATACTTGACATAATATCTTGAAAAATAATTATTGTTCCTTTTCTTCCTTAATTTTAAATTATTTTTAATACCGCAATGCCAACCATAAAATAACTGCTTTAGTTCCTTTTCAGTCCTAAAAAATTTTAAAACATTTTAAACGTAAAACCTAATCATAGCTTTGAATATCTTTGTAATAAATAGCGTACATTATTTCGTTCGATCCTAGATTTCTTGACGTTTCAGGTAAATTTAGTGTTTTACAATTACGTGATAAATACATGTAATTTGGAAATTGTGTTAGTAAAATATACCAGATTTACTTAAGAGTATTTCATAAACCATTGTTTCAGGGGGGAAAGAGGTATAAAATAAAACTAACCAAAGAGCAATTTAAAATTCAAGTAAAGCTCATCTAGTGAACAGAAAGAAAAACTGACTTTCCAGTCGTGACTGTTTATTTATTCATTTTTTTTTTTTTTTTTTTTCGTTTACACGAAAAACACACTGACTAGTCAGAGAATGTTAATTGTAAACTTTTGGTACGTTTTGCAAATAATTTTTATAAGTGAGCCCCAAATCAAATTCGATATGTTTGAGCTTTTTAAAATGATAGTTGCAATTGTTCTGTTTAGTAGTGTTGCCCAAAATCGTCCTTAGATTAAGTTTACAATTGTAGGATTTTGCAGAACTTACATATCAAACTGTAAACACGACCTTTTGAAATATCTCAAGAAACAACTTATATTTGTTTTCGTTTCCAAAATTCTTGCACATCTCGAGGTAAGAAGCACTTTTACAGTACTGGTAATATTTTTTTTCCCCACCCCATTCATACAAGCAGAAATAATCATTGGAGTTTTTCGGTCGCAAGCATAATTGTAAAAATATAATCAATTTATTGTTGGTGAAACTTACTTACCAGTTCAAAAATAGCAATCCAGTATGTGAGCTAATGAACTGGAGTGGGTGAGCCGTAAACTTGCTAGGCAGGGACATAAATATGTCGTCGTGGTAATAGTGGAGGGTGCATCAGACGAAACAGGAGAAAAAGATGAGGCAGCTCTAAAGCGTGAGCGTGACATTCGTCAGGCTCAGAAAGAGTGAAATAAAGTAGATATTTCACCCACTTAGGTACAGAAGAGTAGCGAAAATATTTCAAAAACATAAATCTGGAAGTATTGCCGATAGTATACTTACCCGTAAGATGGAAATGCTCTATTTCACCAAAGCGCCTTTTACCAAATAATACAGTTCATTTACTGACAACATAATTTTATAATAAAGCAATAATTATTACCATCAGTGCCCATTACCAGATAAGCTCGTGCGTTTACTTGACGCGTTAATCAACAATAAAAAAACTAGGTGTAGGTCACGTAACCCACGATGAATGTGAAACATTAAAGAATATGTTATTGAACTCGGTAGTATTTGATTGTCTATGATAAAAATAGTAGTTTTCGTCGGATAAGTGCCATCGTCTCTAGGGCTATTTTGCGGCCCGAGGGACCTGCGATACAGGGCTTGAGGGACGTAAGGTAGCCACGGAGCAATGACACTTATGTGGCGAATCCTATTTTTTCTACTGAGTGCACACCAGCCTCTCGAAAACGCGCGAGGTAGGAAAAGTATTTATTTTTTTTAACTCTAAATAATCTTCATGTAATACTTTTATATTAAAAAGACAATTTATTTATAAATATCTATTTTAACCAGTGAATATTATATATTAGGAAAAAGCAAATTATGTTTATTTTTTTTTTGTTCATTAACATATAAACAACAAGAACGAGAAAGAACAATAATAGACGGTGAAGAGTGTCTACACTACCTACCTACATAAAGGTACATACATTAGTTTAACAATCGTTCGTGTGTATTATTTTCTCTGTCTCTCTGTCTGTTTTTGGATTCGGATACCTGTTTACTGTGCGAAGTTGCGCATGTACGCAAATTTAGTTGGGCTGGCTCTTTACTAAAGACAGGTTAATATGTAGTTTAAATAAACACAATTGTAAAAACTCGAGAATATTTTCCATTATGGTCAAATATTGATATTTTAAAATAATTCTGTTTACAGAGAAGAAATGTTTTAAAAATGATACTAATTCTAATATTAATCAATCATACTCTACAATCAAAAAATATTTAAAAAAGCAATGAAAAAGGCCTACCTACATGAGTACAATAGAGAGAATTAAATTGAATTAAATTGAATTCTTTATTTAAGTAAGCTAAGGATTCAGCGAGACATACTCGACTTCCTGTATAGCCTAAGCAATATACAAAAAGGTAATTACAGTACATTGTTTACAGAAGTAATATTTAGGGCTAAAACAGTGCCCAAGTTGTAATAACGCGTAAAATAAAAGAAATAAAATTAATAATTCTAATATACAACTAAGAAAAGGTACTATATTAAATAATACTAGCATCAACTAAAACTAAATAACTCATGCGTTTGCTAGACTTTGCTCATATAATAATTGTTAAGTGCTTCTTCGAAGCACGGTCGACAATGTAATTTTCGCACATTTGCAGGAACATTATTCCAAACGCTCGCGCTTCCTACAAAAAATTAATTGCGCAAATAATCCAATCTAGCACGTGGAACAATTAGATCGACGTCTGTTGCTCGTTTAGTGGCAGGCCTATCACAAGATCTAAATTCGAGTCGACTCGCAAGGTACTCGGGCTCACCAGTTTGCAAAATTGTTGCCAGAAAAGTAAAAGTGAGATACTCAACTCTAAGAGGGTAAGGTAACATCTTAAGCCTCTTGTAATCAGGAGTGATGTGATCCCGCTTCCGAGTACCTGTCACGAATCGAACTGCGGCATTAATACTTCTTCGGAGTTTTGTTTCTAACTCGTTTGACAAAGTAAAAAACGGACCCGAGCAATAATCAAAGTATGGAATGATCAAAGATTTGACTCGCATCAGCTTACAATCAAAGGGCAAAGATGCACCACATTTCCGGAAATGGTAAAGTGCAGCTTTGCATTTATTAGATGTTATGCCGCACTGCACTCTGAAGCTTAATGTAGAGCCGATCGTAATACCTAAGATTTTCAATGTGTCAGAAACATAGATCTTAATACCACCAAGAAATATGTCTGGTACATTATGCGAGAAAGTCTCTCAACAAAGTTGCACGATCCGAGCCACATAGCTCCAGTTTTTTCTTTGTTGACCAAAAGTCCATTTGACATTGCTCCAGATAAGACATTGCCCAGGTCCTGATTGACAAGATGAACAAAATCAGGTACATCATCAAAA